AATTTTTTTAAGAATCACAATAATTTCTCTAGTAAAACTAACTGCAACTGCATGAACTCATAATTACTTAAAACACAAAATTAACTCAAAAAGGGTATATAAAAACATTTTAAGAAACCAATGAATCATAACTTTTTAACAAACTGAGTACTATCCCAGTGCTTTTTCTTAGAGAGGGAGGCGGGGGGGTGAACTGCCCACTCTGCTGCTTCTCTGCTGCTGTTATCTCTAAAAGGTTTGAGTGAAGCCTTTGTCATCCCCCCACATACTCTCACAGAGGGGAAAAACGGAGAGAAAGAAACCTCACAAACTAAACATGCTAGCAGCCTTGTGGATGGGGGGAGGTTTGCGGCTCCTCCCTGGGTGCCGAAGCCTGCCGTCCCGGTTTTCCCCAGCTTAGGCTCGCTTCCATGTCTAACTGCGTGTGAACCCACCAACCCGGTTCTGATCCTCTTCCATGTCTCCCCACTGTGCAAATCTGCTCTGGCACCAGTCGCTTCCACGTCTTCCTGCTGCACAGACCTGCCGAGCTCGCTCTGCCCGCAAAGGGCTGGTACCCCTTGCCCGCAAAGGGTCCCTGTTCAGAGTGCCAGGTATTGGAAAACTGCTCAGACTATTCACTGAGTCTTCACAGAAGTAGAGTGAACGTTGTTTATTTCTATCTTTAGCACACTTCTATAGGGTCCGACAGGGTTTGCAGGGCTTAACAAGGTACTATTGGTTAACACATATTTTTTTACATTCTTTTCCAAGCACACAATGCCATTGTTTTTCTTTATTCTCGCTGTTCCAGGAGAGTGTCAAGGACACTGCCTTTAATATTGTCACCTGGATTGAAAGCTGGGTTGTGCAGACAGGCTTTTACACAAATATCATGCTTTTACTCTGTTAAAATGTTTTCCTACAAGTGACATTTGGAATGTGCACAAAAAGCAGGATGCCAGGAGATTATAATAAAGACTAATAGCCTGGTTAGGAGGAAAAGACTTATTTTGACAGTTCCCTGTATACTAAGAGATATAGAAAAATGCTAGTAATGCATTTTCTGAAAAAGGAAGCATGTGCTTTTCTCTTCCAGTCACAATTCACTGCCAAACTTTGGAGGTATACCTTTGCCAAATGTTATAGTGTGTTGGGGCAGAAATTCAGAATGGAAACCAACACATTTGCTTTGTTACTTCAGATATTTGGGGGTTTGTCCTTTTTAATATAATTCAGAATGGTGGTCTGTCTAATTTCAGTGTTACATTGTACAGCCTGTTATTAAAATTGTTTAATAATATTTTGTCTGAGGTAATAATCAACAATTTACCTATTTTCTTTGCTGAGCACAAGTAGTCAATCAAGTCATTAACAGGAAAAGTGGTATTTCTACAGAGAAATGTGTTTTGTGGGAACAATTTTAAAGAACATTGAATAATCACATAAAAAACATCTAAAAATTACCAAGAAAATGTTTATTTTTCAATATATTTTTTTCAATATTAAATTGTTGTAATTTTCAGGTATGACCCCGGTATCACTGAAACCCTTCCTCAATTCTGCAATATTCTGTCAGGTCCATATTCATGGCAGGATTAATGAAAAGATGATATTCATGTCAGAACTAGGAACTGATTAGAAGATGATCAGACAGATCACCTTGTGTTCTAAATGTTCTTAGAGGAGAGGTGTCCCATGTCCTCCTGATTGATTAGGCTGGTTTATAAGTACTAAGAAATTGTTGAGGATTAGGTGTTTTTTCGGTTT